TACCAGATTGGACGTATTGGAACAATACATCTGAAAAATACCCGATTGGACGTATTGGAACAATATATCTGAAAAATACCCGATTGGACGTATCAGAACAATATGCCATTCTACCAATAACAAAGTATTACAAATGTTTTATTTTTTCTACTATACACAGGCGGTAGAAGTAAAGGTTATCGGTAAGGGGGGGGGGGTTAAAGTTCATAGAAGAACTAAATATGGGGATCAGGGGATATGACCCCCAGAACTTTACCCGGAGAAATTCCTCAAATATACACGGTAGAACGCGACCATATAGCAGGTATACATCTGCACGAAGCGGGGGATACCTGTCTACATGGTTTCTCCATCTATGACAGTTCCCTGTGCTAAGAAGGCCTAGGCCTTCTGATTTAAAGACACGTGCTTGTAGAAGATAAGTTGCTGTCGTTTTGTTATTGGTGGGTTTGTCTAAAATCTCCGAAACGGGCGCTTCTAACAAATATGATTAATGGATTAAATGCTCCTGTCTATTAATTGCCCGCTGATTAGAGTTAATAACAGTTTATTGGTTTTGTCGTTAAATAAGTATTGTATAATAGTTTAGTACTACATAATGTACAATAGCAGTACCAACCCGTTTTCTATTCTGTCACTTTTGTCGTGTTGTAAAGTCTAATTTCCTCTTAAATTTTATACATTTGTTTGAAGAAAAGGAAAACATGAAAAAGTGTTTTAGGTTTTTATTTCTCAAGATAAAAAACAGGTATTTCTTTGTTTCTTTTTCCCATGAGAAGAAATAAAATATATAACATAAAATTATAGTTGCCCAGTTTTAAGTTCATGCACATTGGAAAGGCCTGCTGTACTATTAAAAATTATTATTTTAACGTCACAGTTTATACACGAGAGGGCGCGAAACGCAAGTGCTTGTCAAATATAAGCATCAATTTCCAGTTCCATCCAAGCTTATCAAATTAGTAAATGCAATAAAACCAAGAAACGATTTAGGAAAAGATAAAATCCTAAACAAATCCATATATTTTTGTGATAATATCTAGTCAACATCTATTCAAGAAACCTTAATCAGAAGGATTTCAACATTATACATTTTTGACGTAATATCGGTTTCGGCGTGTTATGTACTAATTTGAATTCTATTACTTTTTTTTCAAGTTGGCCCGGCATGTCCAGGTGGTTAAGGCACTCGACTCGCATTCTGAGGGTCGCGGGTTCGAATCCCTCTCACACACCCAAAATA